GAATTTTAGTCATCTTGTGCCACAACCAAAATATTTTTCACCTCATTGAATAGATCTCATTTTATTTCACAAAACTTATTACTGATACAGCTCGATGTAAGCATTGCTCTAAAGGCAAACTCTACAAACTCCTTAGTACTATTTCATTCTTTGAATTTATTGTATCTAGTTTGCTTCCTGTAAAAGCAGTAAGAAATAGCTACTTCACTTTAGAGAATACTTTGATGACTAATCCTAACTCTTCAAATAGGAAGAGATCCATTTCCTATCTTCTGATTCTGCACTGACCTCAAAGTAGCCTTTGAATTCCATTCTGAGAAGAAAAGGTATGGATTTAAAAATTACAGACATAAAAAAAACTAATAAATTATTTTCACTTTTTTTGCCCCATCTGTACAGTTATTCCCAAAGCAAAACACTTCATCTTGGGAGGGTCAGGGATGGGGGTAACATGTAGTACTAGGGTATTTGAGAGTGTGAGTTTAGGAGTCAGAAAGACCTACATTCAAATTCTGATGCTACCTGTGTGACCTTGGGCTAGTAATGAAAACTGTCTACATTTCTTGTTTTGCACTCATAAAATAATAGTAACAACCACTTCCTACAATTACTCCTTTCATTATGATAAATGAAATAAGCCAGACACAAAAGGCCAAATAATGCATGCTTTCAACTATAGAAAATATCCAGAAAAGGCAAATTCATCGAGGCTGAAATGTTGGGGGTGGGAAGGGCAGTAGAATAGGAAGTTACTACGTAACAGGTACAGAGTGTGTTTCGGGTGACAAGAAAATTTTGGAAATACAGAGTGATGGTTGCAGTGTGAATGTACTAAATGCCACTGAACTGTACAATTTAAGATGGTTAAAATGCCAAATTTTATATATTTTACTACAATAAAATTTTAAATGGAATTATTTCTTTATGAATAGGAATTAAAAGTTTTAATTTAAAACTTACAGATTGCCAAATTTGGAGGGAAGCCCGTCTTAAAATAGAAACTAGAGGACCTCAATCTGTGACTTGATGTGTTTATACTCCAGCCACAAGTCATTTCCCATTCAGGCCTGAATGCCTATTGTCTATGGGCGTCACACAATCACAGTCAAAATCATAACTGGATTTTTCTTCCAACTTGAAAAATTACGTTTTCTTGATTATGTTTTGAATTCTGAAAAAACAGTTAAATAAAGGCATTTGTTTAATAGTGTTGGGAGAAACAGACAAGCAAAAAAACTGATTCAATCAGAACTTCACACAATACACTAAAATAAATTTCAAATGGATTAAACACTTAAATATAAAAACAAGGTCATAAAAAATCCTGAAAATATGTGACTATTTATTTTGGGACAGGGAAAGAATGTATAAATCTCAAAATAGCAGAAGAAACCACCCAAGAAAAGATAGCTTTCATCCCCCACCCACTCATGTGCACACACACACATTTACTATTTATTTCAATACTTAAAAAAATATTAGAAGCAAAATTAACTACAGCAGTTCCCCCTTATCTGCAAGATAGTTCCAAGACCCCCAGTGGATGCAAGATAGTACCTAACCCTATATATACTACGTTTTTTTCTTATATATACATACCTATGATAAAGTTTAATTTATAAATTAGGCACAGTAAGAGATTAACAACAATAATAATAAAATAGAGCAATCATAATAATATATACTGTAATAAAAGTTATGTGTACGTGGTCTCTCTCTCAAAATATCTTATTGTAACTATATTCACCCTTCTTGTGATGATGTGAGATGATAAAAGGTCTAGTGCTGAGACGATGGGAGGGGGATGATGTAGACATTGTGACACAGACTGAGGCTACTACTGACAGATTGTCAGAAGGATCATCTGCTTTCTGAACACAGCTGACAGTGCGTAGCTGAAACCACAGAAAGTAAAACCACGGATGGGGGAGGATTCCTGTAACTGGGGAAAATATTTACAAGAAACATTTCAAACAAAGCTCTGATAGCCCCAAATACAAAGAGTTTCACAGATGAATAAGAAGAATCAAAACCCTAGTAGAAAAATGGTCAAAGAAAAAAAAAAGAAAAATGGTCAAAGATTATGAACAATTCATGAAAAAATGGAATTGGCTGAAACAAAGTAGCAAAACACCCAATTTCATTAATGATAAAAGTGATTTAAAATTAATAACCACTATTTTGATGGAAATACCAATAGAATGGTTTAAAAGTAGACAGGCTAAGTTGCCATAGAAAAATTAACATAGAAAAATCAACATGCAAGAATAGCCAGCAAAATTTTGAAAAAGAAGACCAATAGGGTGGGTGTGGAATAGTCCTGCAATAATTAGTTTCTAGGGCAGGAATAGCCAGACATTTATAGATTGTAAAGCCCAGAAATCGACAATACAAGGGGGGATTTAGACACCATTTCATATAAGTGATGAAAGATGGATTGATAAATTTTGTTAGCAACTAGGCAGTTATCTGGAGAAAAAATTACATTGGCTCCTGACTTCAAAATTTACACCAAAATAAAATCTAAATGGATTAAGCATTTAAGTGGGAAAAATTAAAATTGCTAGAAGAAAACAACAGTAGTTGTTTTTAGTTGTGCTGTTTGCAGAATCTAGGTCCTGGAAGAATAGTATGGCAGATTTAATTTTTAAAGATGGTCACAACCGTAGCTCCTGTCCCACATTCTTCTCTTGCAATATGATCTTAAAACTCCTCTCATTGATCTTTGGGCTCTGTGTCCCCTCTCCATGAACTAGAATGGACCACTGTGGCTTTTTTGATCAGAAGAATATAGCAGAAGTGACTTCTCAGGCTAGATTATAAAATACTTCCACCTTGCTCTCTTGGAATGCTCACTCTTGGAATGCATTCACCATGCTGAAAGGAAGCCCAAGCAGGACCACATGGCGAGGAACCAAACCACTCAGCTCACAACCTTGGCTGAGCTCTCAGCCAACAGCCAGCACCAACTTGATAGTGATATGAGTGATCCATCTTGAAAGAGGATCATCCAGCCGCAAACTGGGTCACCCCAGTGATGCTAAGCAGAGAAGAGACATCCTTGTTGAGTCCCAGCCAAATAATTGTTTTTTTTAACACTGAGTTTTGGGGTAGTTTAGGGTTAGGGATTAGGGTTAGAGGTTAGGAGAGGGAGAGAGAGAGAATCTCAAGCAGGCTCCACATTCAGCACAGGAGCCCAACTCAGGGCTCGAGCTCATCACCTTGAGGATCATGATCTGAGCCAAAATCAAGAGTCAGACACTTAACCAACTGAGTCACCCAGAAACCCCAAGGAGATAAAATCTTTAAATATTAATGGCAATCTGAAACTAAAATCCAAGTAATTGTGATAAAGCGCTGAAGGTGGTCTATATGCTTGTGGTGGGAGAAGCGGCAAGGGAAGTGAAGGCATGCTAGAGGCATTTTCTTGGTGGGGGGCAAGGGTGTCAGACAGAGTACTGCTGTGGTGGCTTGGCACTGTATCGGCTTAGTTAGGATGGAACTCTGGCTCCCAGCATCTCCCCCCACCCCCCGTCTAGTTCCATTTAGAGTTGGTGTTCTATAAGATTTTGACTGGCCTTTGTTCCTGCTCCCTCTCTAAATCCTTGGAATTTCCCAAGTAAGAAGAGTATCTTTGAGATTCTTAGATATCCTAGATAGTTTTAGGACTGGATCTGGCCATGCTGGAAAGATCAGCCACGTGATTAGAGCTGAGGCTTTGAGCCACTTGATACCAGTCCAGACTCCTGGGAGAGTTCAATCTCATGGCCAAGGTTCAATCAATCATGCCTCTATAATGAAACCCCAGTAAAAACTCTGGACACAAAGCTTGGATAAGCTTCCTGCCTGGTACCACACATTGATGTGCCACGAGGGTGATGCACCCTGACTCCATGGGAAGAGGACACAGAAGCCTTGTATTTGAGACCCTCCCAGACCTCACCCCATGTGTCTCCTCTTTTGTCTCATTTGATTTGTATCTTTTGCTATAATAAAATGTAATCATAAATATAGCTCTTAGCTGAGTTCTGTGAGTCATTCTAGTGAATTACCAAACCCGAGGGAGTAGTGGGAACCCCTGAATTTGTAGCCAACTGGTAGAAGCGTGGGTGGGTGGCCCGGGAATCACTGACCTTGCAGCTGGTGTCTGAAGTGAGGGCAGTATCTAGAGGAATAAGCCCTTAACCTGTGACATTTGGCCTAACTCCAGATAGTTAGTGTTAGGATTGCAATGCAGTTTTGACCACAAGAGAAATTCACTTGAGATTTGGACATCGTAAGGGAAAGAGTGGTCATATTTTTTACACTGCAGAAGATCAGCAGTGGGTGCCAGGGTACCTCATGCACATTGCTGATCTCCTGGCTCACCTTGCTGGCGTGGGGCAGCACCCAGCCCATGGCTCCTCCAGGTCCTGCCACACGTCCTCCAACTTCTCTGAGTCCTGAGCCAAAGATACGTGCGGTTCTGTAGCCAAGCGTGCCAGTTACCCCTGCAGGCATCATCTGAGTCATCTAAGGCAGAGTGATGAGAGACAGATGCAAGCTCTGTGTCTGTTTTCTAGCCGTTTCCAGTTTGTTCCCGCTCCTGTTCTTGTTCAGCTTTTCTTCCCAGCTGTGGATCTGGCAAACTTATTATGACTTCAGGCCCAACACCAGATGCAGGGCAGCAGATTTTTCCACCTGCAATTACAACTGTGTAAGGCTAAATCCCCACAGTAAGTCCCTTATACTTTATCACTCTGATTTTACCTTGACTGCTACAACTGTTTCAGTCTGTCTGATAAAAAACTATAAATTTAATATGATGGATGAGAATTTAAAGGAATACACTACAGGAATAGAAATAGTATGACACTAGGGTTTTCAATTCTGACTACATACCAGACTCTTTTAAAAAATACTGATACCACTCTCCTCCCCTGAGATTCTGGGGTAAAATTTAGGCATTAAGTTGATTTTTTTTTTAATTTTATTTTATTATGTTATGTTAGTCACCATACATTACATCATTAGTTTTTGATGTACTGTTCCATGATTCATTGGGCATTAAGTTGATTTTTGAAAGGGGATTCCAGTCTGTATCCAGAGTTATTAAATGCTGCCCTGGAAGGAAGGAAAAAAAAAAAGAAAAGGTGATCAATCCTATAAACCTATATATGCAAGTAGGTAAAGCAGGAATAAATTAAAATATACCTTACTATAAGAGGTATTCCTAAAATCAAGTGACATAAAGGTATTAAAAATTAACAGACAAAGCAGGCCAATATTAACAAAAAATAAGATGTGAAACAGCAATATAAAACAGAATAGAGTCCAAAGTTAATAGCATGAAGATGGGTCAAGGATATTTCCATTAATAACCTATTACAGGGCACGAGGAAGGAACGTCATACCTCTTTTTGCATCTAGCAGAGCTTCAGGATGTACACTAACTGCAGGATGTATTTATTACTCAGAGAAAATGATAAATTAAAATCATCTGTTTCAGAACTAAGAGATCAAGAAGAGAAAAACATATGGAACTTAAAATATGTAATTAATAGAACTTATATACCATATTAGCACATTTAACTCCTTGAATTCCACACAACCGATTTGTTGGGTTAACTGATGTTCTCTATTCTTTCTGTAATAAATGTCTTTGTCCTTGACATATTGCAAGCTAGGTGCTAGTCAACCCCTCCTCTATGTTCACCTGTTCTTGCTCTCACTAGGTAAGTGGTTCCAAACCTGCTTATGCTAGTTCTCATTAATATAACTTCCTAACCTGAATATTTTATAAGCCAGTAAATAAGAACATGAATGTGAAATATGAATATGAATTTGTAAAATAACAATTTCTGGAAAACTAGCTGAATACTTTGTAAAGATTCAGTAAGGATAAATCATTGTAAGAATTTGCTGTCAGATTAAATGTGTGCAAGATAACTGTAAAAAAAAAAAAAATAGATATGAATCCTAGAAAACCTGAATCCTTCACAAGTTTCTCTGCATTCGTATTCCACTATAAAGAAACCCAAAATGGAAATTACAGGCAACGGAGTCTAGCAGTGATTTATACAAGAAAGGCCAACTAAACTCCAACTGATGTAGCTAGATGTAAGGAAAAGGCCTTGGCCCTACATCAAAAGATTGGCAAATGAATGTATATTTATGTGTATTAAATTAAAATGCATGCATTTTCATTTTTTAAATGACTCCTCATTCTGACATTTTTGATTTACAAATCTTGTCAGGTAAGAGACAATTTTGTAAAGACAGAATTTTGAGACAGAGAAAATAAATGTTTTTCAAACATGCATGGAACCATTATAAAAACTGGGAAAAGAAACCTTTAGGCAAATACCTTGCAGACATCACACAGTGCGGGATGGAACTCACAGACAGAAGGGCCAGCCAAGGAGGATGGGTGTGGCTCCAGGTTCTCCTCAGCAACCCTGGGATAGGTGTGCGGGCCATGGGTCAGCACAGTTAGCTCACTGCCAGGAAACCTAGAGAAAGCCTGTGATCATCCAGCTAGTGATCTGGTTCGTATCTCTACAAGTTTATGTCACATTGGCCACATTCTCTGTCCACAGGCTATAAAATTAAAAGTCACAGAAGAAAAAAAAAGTCACTTAGAAATTAAAAAAGAATATCAACTCAATTTAAAGAGAAAAATCAAACATAAAAATACAGATCATTTAAAGGAAGGATGGTGAGTACACTACATGTCAAAACCCAGGAATTACCTTCCACCTCCAGTCAAGATGGAGTAACAAGGATTTACCCTCCTGCCCAAAACAACCAATACACACAAAAAAGCACAAAACAAGACAATGGACACCAGGCAGAAAGGACAGTGATCCTGAAAAGCTGGAGACAAATGAGGTGAGCTTTACGATTGCCTCAACTTGCTGCCTTGAGGGAATTTCCAAGCTGCAGTGTGGTTGGGGGCAGGGTGGACAGAGCCTGGCAAATTCCACGGGTTGAGGAGCTAAGACTGAGAATCTAGGGAAACCAAGCCAGCTAGAATGTCCAGTACACAGGACTGAAGAGGGTTAAGTTGCCCAGGAGAAAATTCTCAGAGATCTGCAGGTTTCCTCCAGTATCCATGAGAGTAATGAACAGCATATAGGTTTGAAGAAATTACCTAAGGCTGAGAAAAAAATTGTCCCAAAAAGTCAGAGGAAATACGACTCAGCACTCACATAGGACTAGGAACAGTATCTGTTCCCACTAGTCAGACCGAAAGTCTTGGTAATTCATGAGGCACCTGTTACAGTATCCAAGAGTTTTGCCTCAGTCAGTAATGGGGTGAGTTAATCCTAAATAGTTCTCAAATTCTGCCTAACAAATCTTAAACCATGTCCTGGATACAATGGTTTACAAGTAACGTATGTGTGTCCCAGAACAAAGCTCAAGAATATTTATAGAAATACAAACTATCAAGTATCCAGTAAGGTAAAATTCATATTGCCTAGCATTCAATCAAAATGACAAGGCATGCAAAGAAGCAGGAAAGTACATCCAATAATGAGAGTGAACCAACAGAGACCAACTCAGAACTGACAAAAATATTAGAATTAGCAGGCAAGGACATTAGAAATTACTATAACTTTATTCCATTTGTTGAAAATTTAAGATAGTGAAGATATAAAAAGAAGATCCAAGTCATGTGCTAATTAACTGGGGCGGGGGGCGGAGAACCCTCTCACAATCATATATATCGAATCATGTTGTATACTTTAAATAGCTTACAGTTTTGTCAACTGTACCTCAACAGAGCTGAAGAAAAAGAGTAACAATCAGAAGTGATGTAAATCAAACTTCTAGAGAGAAAAACTATAATGTCTAAGATGAAGATTATACTGTAAGTAACTGCTGACTAGACACTTCAGGAAAAAAAAAAAAAAGACAAGTGGGCTTGCAGACCTAGTAATACAACTATCCAAAATGAAACAGAGAAAAAATAATTTAAAAAATAAACAGCATATCAGTGAGCTATGGGATAACATCAAGAGGTCTTATATAAGTGTAGTTGAAGTTTCCAAAGAGGAAATTGAGGACAAAACTTTTTTATTAATGGCTAAAATTTTTCCAATTTTGATGAAAATTATAAACCTGCAGATCCATGAAGCTCAATGAACTCCAAGCAAAAGGAACATGAAAAAAAACTGTTTTAAGACACATTATCACCCAATTGCTCAAAATCAGCCAGAGAAAAATGACACATTATGTATCTGACAGCATATTTCTTACAGGAAAAAATAACAAGCAGGAGGACAGTGAAGCCACATTTTTAAAGTATTGAAAGGAAAAAAAAAAGCCTGTCAAGTTAGAAGTCTGTACCCAACAAAAAGGTATTTCAAAAACAAAGGTGAAAGAAACTTTTTCAGACACAAAGGCTAAAAGAATTCATGACCAGCAAGCCAGCACTGTAAGAGATACCCAAAAAAACTTCAAGTAGAATACCAGATGGATAAATGGATCTACACAGAGGAACAAAGAGCTCCAGAAATGGTAACTATTGGAGTAAGATTTTTATTTATAAATCTCTTTAAAAGAGAATGTTTTCTGTTTTTTTTAAGATTTTATTTATTTATTCATAAGAAACAGAGAGAGAGAGGCAGAGGGAGAAGCAGGCTCCCCAGTGAGCAGGGAGCCCGATGCGGCACTCGATCCCAGGACCCTGGAATCATGACCCGAGCCGAAGGCAGATGCCCAACCATCTGAGCCACCCAGGCGCCAAAAAACAAAAACAGGGCGCCTGGGTGGCTCAGTTGGTTAAGTGTCTGCCTTCAGCTCAGGTCATGATCCCAGGGTCCTGGGGTAGAGCCCCATGTTGGGCTCCCTGCTCAGTGGGGAGCCTGCTTCTAAAAGGCTGCCTGCCGTGCACCCCCCCACCACCACTCTCTGTCAAACAAATAAATAAGCTTTAAAAAAACAAAAAAAACAATGCAGTGAGGGGCTTTTACATATATAAATGTAAACTGTGGAACAGCACAGCCTCTAACAAGTCTGACCAGGATGTAGGAAGGAACGTAGAAATATATCACAAACTAAAACTGGACTCTAACTGGAGGACGAGTTTAACAAAAATTGTAAGAAATACCATGTACTTCTATCAATTAATTTGTAAAGATAAAAGAAAATGGCTGATTTTTTTTAGAAAGGTATAAATTATTCAAATTGATTTCTGAGAAAGTAGGAAACGAATAGTTTCCCCCATGGCTAATAAAGGAAGATGGGGGGGAAATCATTTATTTCTAAGACTGTTTTATGAGTTCAACAAGTCTTAAATTAACAGATAATTCCTGTATTATTCAATTTTCTTGCCAGGGCATAGAAAAAGATAACCTTACCAATTCATTCTATAAAACTAGCAGAACTATAATTCCCAAACCAAACTAAGATAATAAACAATTTTTTTAAAGAAAACCTCATGAATACATATCTAAATCTTAACATTTTTGAAAAACAGAATTCTAGAGTGTAATTGGCAGAATATATTGTAATACAGAGTTTTTATAACAGGATAGAATGATGGTTCAGGATTAGGAAACCGATAAAAAAAAATACTACTATGCTGAAGCCTCCCTTTTTTATTCAATTATTTGACAAATGTTCATTTACTCATCAAAAATTTACCAAGTATTAAAAAAAAAAAAAAAATTTACCAAGTATTATTGGAGTGCCAAGCACTGGATAATGAGAATTCAGTGATAAGATATGGTCTCTGCCTTCATGGAGCTACCTAGAGAGATACAGATAAAAAGAAAATTATTAACACGGTATAAGGCTATGACAAAAACAATACAGGGTACTATTATTGTATTACATAAATTGGCACATCGGGGTGCTGTTGGAATAATCCTGTTGAGGATGATTGCCCCTTCTCAGATGATGGCAGTTGGTGTGAGGAATATGGATCTACACAATATGATTAGAGAGTAGTATCAAAAATGTTGGTTGATTGGGTAGAGAAAGGTTGAGTCAGATTCTTTGGGGGTCTTAATATCTTAGTGTTATGCACAAAATGGTCAAATAAGTTTGGAAAATACTAGGTTAAGCACAAAGATTTCTTTACTGCAGTACCTGTCAGAAGCTTTGTGGTTTTTGTCACTAAGAGAAAGCCACCCAATGTTAGATAGTACCCAACTTTACCACATTTGATTACAGAACACTTATTGTGCAGAACACCTTGTGAGAATGGTGGTTCATGAACACATGGGGAGAAACTGCTCCCACAGAAACACCTCTTCCTTTCTACTGCAGCTCCCAAACCTACGTGAATCATCTTACTAACTATATTCAGTTTGTTGAGGCTGTCTTGTTTGATCCCTTTACACAGGACATCTATTAGTTTGATTACCCTCAACTGGGAGAGATTGAAGTGAAAAAGTTTCTCTGAAACCTCAAAAGGGGTGTGTCCCAAGTCATTAAAAAAATAGATTATTCCAAACCAGGATTACCTATGAATCAATATGAAAAGAACTGACCCAAAGATAAACTGCAATAAAGCAGAATACATCTCTGTAAATCTCTATAAAACCTACCAAATATTCATACAGGTAAGATACCTGAGAACAAGCTCATTGGAAGCAAATCCTCCTACTATTAAACTGTTAAAGCAAACAAACTTTTGATCCTAATGCTCTCCATGTTGAGTAAATAATTCCATTTACCTAAAAACTGCATGCATTTTATTTACAAATAGGAAAGACCTGAGAGTATGTGAACTCTCAAGGAGGCTAACCTGAACTAGTTAGCTAATGCTCAGAACTATAATCCATGTCACTGAAAATTTGATTCTAAAGTATTAAGTTCTATATGTACAAAAGGAGTATTTCAGGATGTTCTAAGAACAGACATTCTTAACACTAGGTAATCACTGAACTGAAGCATATTGCTAATGTCGTATACAATGTCTCTAAAGTAAGTGATGTCCAAAAAATAAGGCACAGTCCTTTTTATGTTTTCAATATATTAAAAAGCAACAGAGTACAAATGTTGTGATTAATACTAAAAAGGATCAAAAATTTTCAAGGAATGATATTTTTATAAACAAGTTCTACAACAAAGAAGAAACAGCATCTTGATACACAAAAGTTCTGCTAAACAAGATCTTAAAATTTTTAAATCAGAAAATGTTTAAGACTAAATTCTTTCAAATGTTCAAACAAAAAAGCGACCTGTACAGTCTCCATAATAAAACGTATCCTTATACACATGTCCTGGGCACTTTGAAAATGTTAGAATTTTTAAAATTTGAGTGTCAGAGGCAGCACTTAAAGGCTTCAGGAACCTTTTTTTTTCCCCCTCACAAAAGCATACTTTCAGTAAAACATTTTACCATTTTTATCTGACTATGCATTTACATTTGTGTTCTTCCTGAAAAGGGGGTTTTATATTAACACTGTATTTTTAATGTAAAAAAATACATTTAAAAAATTTAACTTCCTGAGTGACTTCAGTTATACATCAAACATGACTTAATGAGCAAATTCTAAAATTTTAGAATGAGATAGCATGTATAAATTTACAATTTTATGTTCAATTAGAGTAAAATTCAAAAGACCATGTCACAGAACTTACACTAAAAATTCTCTAAATCAAATATGATTTATCCCCAAACTTTACCAATAAGCTTTCTACATAAAATGTTAGTAAAGTGAATCACTGAAATTACATTTTCTCATTTAACAAAATATTGATAGTCAATTCAGACTACCAGAACTTGAATGTTTTCTATTATACACACCAAAACCTGATTCACTAACAAGAAACTTCCTGCAATACAAAAAGATAACAGATAATTAAAAGATTTGCTTTATAATACAACCAACACATATAATACATCCTCCTTCCTCATTTGTCTAAAATGATTAGGAATTGTGGCACTTTCTTTTGCATAAAACCCTTTCCTCTGCATAAAACCCTGAGGTGAAAGGTTATTAATGTAGTAAAACTGGAACCACAACCCTTATTTCTGTATTAGACCGCAGCTATAGGTTTTAAAAATTTTAAAAAGAAACGTGGCAACTTGTAAAGCTGCTCTGTAAGTTTAACAAAACATTTCCAGGTCTATTTAGCCAAAAGGACCTAGAATGACCCTATAACAACTTCATCCTTTTAACACTTGTTAGTGTCGAGATGAACGCCATTTTCCATCTCGGCTGTTGTCTCTTCTGTTATCATAGTCGTGGCTCCAGCCATCGGGATTCCTATCCTCACTGAAGCAGTCATCCCTGCTTCCTCTGTAATGATGATCAGACCCATGGTCAGTGTACCGCTGTTCACGGCTATAATGTCGATCCGGGATGTAGGGATGAGAATTCTGTCTGATTTTACGTTGTGAGGATGGCGTATCTTGGCGCCACTGGGAGCCTGAAGATTGGTTAAAACTATGACTATGCGATGGGGAAAATCCTGATGGATCCAGAAGTGGAGAACCAAATTTCCCACCATAGGACATCTGTCTCAGAACACTATTCATCTAAGAGAAGACAAAAAGAAGGAAATGTTAACTGCAAGTATTTCTAGGTATCAAAGCCAATATATATTTAGTCACAGTGAACCAAACAGATAATGATGGAAAAGCTAAATTACTCTTGCCCATATAGATCTTAGGTTAAACAGAACTCAAAGAAAAAAAAAAAAATACAATGGCTTTGTTCATTCCAATGTATACCTGTAAGCTATTTGTACATAACTACTATTCCTTGCCCTCAAGAATACAACTTAGAAGGGAAGAGGTCATACAAATGATTATAATGTAAATCATTGTCTAATGAACACATAAAGAGCCAAGAGCTCGGGATCATTAGGAAAGGCTTCATGAAGGTGGCATTTTTATCTAAGTATTAAAAGTACGGATGGAATATTTTAAGGGGGAAGTATACCAAGGAAAGGAAATTGCATAAAGATAATAGGGAAACAATGAGTTTGTAGAATAGCAAAAATTCTGACTGATAACAGATCTCATAAGCAATGAATAATGGAGTTAGGCTAGAAAGGTTTATTGGCATCAGATGATGGAAGTGCCTTATAAGTAGACTAGAGAATTCAGACTTTATCTTGCAAACGAAAGAAAATCAAATTACCAGGAAGATAAGCGAAACAGGATTATAACATTCATTTTGAAACATTGTGAGATGTGAGATGGGCTAGTGAAGAGAAAACAGAGACAAGTACGAACTCACTAGCCCAGTGGTCCCCAATTCTGCCTGTGGATAAGCGTTAGCCAGTGATGATTTTTTTAAATAGCCTATACCACAATGAGAAAAATATGTGGTATTTACATAAAAGTTGACATCCCTTTATATTGGTCCCTCAAGTTTACTTTATTTCACTTATATTTTTATTTTGCAGACCTGCAAAAGGGTGAGGGGTCACAAGCCAACACTGTGATTTGGGCAAAGAAAAAAAGAAGAAATCAATTCAAGAAAAGGAAAAAAATAAAGGACTTGGAGACAAAACTAAAAAAAATGAAAGACTGGAGACAAAGATGGAACAGTAAAACACACCAAAGATTTTAAGCCTATTCTCACAGTCTCATTATTACAGAAAAAATGGAAATCAAGAGGAAACTGGTCAAAGACTCCAATATATTCAAGTACTGTTATTAAGCATTAAGGAGAATGTATGGTAAGAAGCCTTTCAGCATAGGCTGCAAGAATATCAGAGAATAAATTTCCAGTCCTTGAAACACAAACATACACCCCCCACCCCCAACAACGGCTGAAGAAAAATACAAATGTGAAATGCAGTTCTATTTATCTTCAATCTGTTAAATATGTTTCTCAGCCCAGTGAAAATCAAAATGGGTGATCAACCTACAAGAGATCATGCTAGTCTAACTAAAACTTAGAATATTATTTAAGAATCATTTGAACATTTTTTAAAACATTTATTTTAGAGACAGTGAGTGAGTGAGCGCGTGCGAGCGCACATGCATGCCCAAGTAGGGGCAGGGGCAGAGAGAGAAAGAGAGAGAGAGAATATCAAGTAGACTCCCCACTGAGCGCAGAGCGGGAAACAGGGCTCGATCTCAAAACCCTGAGATGACCTCAGTCAAAATTAAGAGTCAGATGCTTAACCAACTAAGCCACCCAGGCACCCCTGTTTGAACATTCTAAGTTTTTTGGGGTTCTTCTTGAAGATGTCTGAGTTTTGGTCAACATTTTTGCACAGCCTCTAGAGACATTACTTAACTTCAGTTATAAGCGACCTTTAGACCCAACAAATATGTCTCAAGAAGTGTATTTTAGTTTATTTGTAGAGGACAGTAAATGAGTGATAAATTTTATTTTACAGCTGTGAAAGAGATGCAAGTTGTAGCATAATATTGTTAATTGGCTGATAAATTTAGACTCGGTGTTCAAAGAATTAAGGTTTCAGCAAGCATTCAATATATCAAATGTGATTATTTTTGAGATTTTTTTGAGAAGCTGAGTTTAAAACCCTCCAAGTACATAAATCACTGGTAAAAGCAATTACAACTTCTGCTTTTGTCTTTGTAAGACAAAAGACTTCTTGTGACAAATTTTGAAAACTTCATAAACTGAATTGTATTTGCAAGTGTACATCGTATTCTGCTGCACTGCATAATTATCATATGTGATACTTTATTCAATAACCTAATCATGATTTTCTGGGTTTTCTATCTTAATTATGTTGTGTTGCTCTTTTTCATTAAATTTTCTGCGTAACACTCCATGGTTTCAAATTTTAGCAGGCT